TAGGCAAGAAAACAGAAATAATGTAAAAAATTACAAGTGCAATTTACATTTCTTGATTTCCAATCTTGTCTATCAAAACTAAGAAATCAAATAAATTATTTTAACTATGTAATGATAGTAGCATCCAAATACGGAGTCGGATTTCAATTTTATGTAGAAATGGAAAAGAATTGATAACGACTGCCGAGAAGCCTTTATTAAATCTGATCACCACTGAAACCCCGATATCGACTTCAATTAGGGTTACCAGACGAAAATAGTTTTTTTTTACCTACTCGAAGAATTACACATGTACTATTAGAAGACAGAAGAAACTTTCATGTTAGCTCCGAGATTTTGGAAAATAAGGAAAAAATATTAGAAAAGTGACAATAGAATTTGACAATAAATAGTGGTACAAAAGACGGACTTAATGCTATAGGCATTCTCTACCAGTCAACCTTTAAGATGTGCAGAGATACTTAATGGTGGTTAAAAAAATAAAATTATTTATTGTATATTTATGTTATAAAAAGTGTAAATTTAATAATAATACTAGATTTAAAAAAAATTAAAATAATAAAAATTTATATAAATAAATTATTTATTAAATATATTAATTAAATTATTAAATCATTAATTTTCATTTAAACATTACATTTATCAGAAAGGTGATCCGATTTTTCCATCAAAGATTATAATTTTAAACGTATTATTTTATATATTAATCATACTTTTATAACAATATTAATAAATAATGTTTTTAACAACTAGCTAGAAAAATAAACGGCAAAAATTAAAAAACAACCTCGCTGCATTCACATGCCAGTAAATAGACTCCAGACGAGACATACCAGGAAATTGACTTAAAAGATAGGACACTAATCGGTGAGGTAATCTTATTATTTGAACTGGTAACCCTAGAACGAACTGCCAATTAGCCAATCACTAGGCAACCTCGCCTACCGCATCAGTTATCGCGTTGCCGATCGCCATCGCGTTCGAATCGCATTCGTGACGGACGAAAGTCGGTTAATGCATGGGAAAAGCAACGACGAAAACGATGCGGTTTCGCAAGCGATCGCGGCGATTGATATTGCGATTAGTTGGGGGTAGGAAGTCACCTGTTGTCTGAAGAATGGTGGGTACTGTAACTACGCGTGAATATCCCAATAGTGGACATAGATTCCTCTGTATAAGAGAAGAATTATAAATGAAAGATATCTGCCTACAATTAACACGTAGATCAGGTAGTTAGATATTGGGTTTTGATGTAAAAGAAGAAACATTAATTTACATTTAATTTTTCAGAAACGATTAAATAATTTCATTACTTCTGAACGATTTATTTAGGTTTCGATAATAAAATAAAACTTTAATTGTTACATTATTTTAATATATCACTGAAATTTTATATTTTTAAGGTTAATAAATGACACATAATGTCAACAGAGGTTTAAAAGAGTAACTGTTAACTTTTTCGCGGGTTCTCCTCAACAGATAACAACTTTCCGAACCCTGCATTCATAAAAAAATAACAATTACAAAGTGCTTGTAAACAAGTCTATTTAAATAGAGATGATTTGAATTTGAATGTACTAAAAAATGTTGATTTCTTTTTTTAAATTATTAATTCACTCTTGCGCCACCTGCGCATTTCTATCTGTTCTCCTTTAACCAAAGGTTGTCTGTAAGAGATTGCTCTAGCGATAAGACCGCCTTTTGTACCTTTATGTGTATATTTCAATCTGTATTTATGTTACTGTATTTCACTTGAATTATTCACTTGTCATTGTATATTTTTATTTATGGTGCAATAAAGAGTTAAATAAATAAATGACATTTAGAATTCACGGCAGTAAAGTTACAAGATATATATAAGTATGGTAGGAATATTTCATAATAAATATAAATAATATAATATAAATAAATAGTTTTTGATCACATAGTATACAAATTCAATTCCTCTCGTTCCTTATAACTCGGACCGTAACTTACCTCTCTCGGCTCGTATCTGATTATTCAGTAGCGGACATCTTGGGTCTTCCTGTAACTACCTTACGTATTCAGATTGTCGGTTCTATGTTTATCTCTCGTATTAGACAAATTAGTAAGTACTACCTCGTTACTAAGCCAAATTATTACTTAATACCAATCCGTAAGATTATTTTTAAGCGATTATCGAAACAGTGTGATTCTAAATTCGTCTTTACTTTTTGAGTGTATGTTACTCGAGTAAATCTAAATCAAATTTAACAATTCTTTTTGAAAAACACAAAAGTTACACTGCTGGAGTTGAATCTCTTTTCAGCATTTGGTATGCAGTATCTTTGTGCAAAAATGCAATTTAGAGTGTTTAAAGACCTTATAAATATCGTATGGAAACCTATAAGGTTGTGTTAATATAAACAGACGGTTTGAAACCATGAATGGAATAAATGCCAATGCATGAGGATTATCATGGGCTTCACAGTTTAGACAGTGACATCAGTGATTTTGTTTACGCCTATAAGTAACGGTTAATACTACCATAAGCTTTCTATAGCTTGTTTCTTACTAAAATTAATTTATTTTAAAACTTAAATTTTAAACTTTAAAATTTAAATTAAAACTTAAAAATTAAGATCTCTTATTAAATTATTTATTATAATATCGAGGTAATTAATTAATTAAGTTTTATATTCATTTATTTAATATTTTTTATTTTTGAGAGACGGTTATTAACGCGACCTTTTAAGTTAATCCCCATCCCATATGAACCATAAACAGTGCAACGCGAAAGTCTAAAAGTTAATTATATTTTATTTTATTTTTATTATTAAATTCAATATCAATGTAAAATTCCAATGCCTAAATTGTCTCGCCGGGAATTGTATCCGGGATCTATTAAATATATCACCCACCCACCACTGCGATATAGAGATCGTTGGTATGGTGGATTACGTTCACCATAACTGTATCTTTAGAAAGGGGAATAGTACATACACATGAATACAAACATTAACTGAAACAATACTTTTTAGCGAGATACGTGTTTTTAGTCACGAATTCACGAGCAGCTCTCACTTGGCACGGGTATATCTGAATATCCTTCGAGTTCAAAGGAGAAAGTGCACGCCTACGTTACACTAGTGTTTACACTTGATTTTCTTTACGTTTGTGGTATTATTTCATATTTAATTCCACATTTGAATTACTTTGCCCGTACAAATGGTTTTATTTATCTTTTCGGTAATTTTCATCACAAACTTACTATTATAAGTCGTGTAGGGTAGTCACCTTGTAATGTCAAGAGTTTCCAGCCTGCCTTTATAACATGAAGTTATAACATGAAGACATCTGACATAGCTTATTAGACGATGGTTTTAGGGCCAAGAAAATATTATAAGTAGTAGTTAATAGCTTATACTTTACTTACTTTTTAATGAATATTATAAATATAAATAAATATAGTAATGATTGGTTGATTGTTGATACTCAATCCATATAAACCATAAGATGAACCCTTCGATTATATAGATAGAGTGTCTCCATACAAATGTTTCGATATAAGCGGGTCAAGTATTCCATACAATTTTGCGTGATAAATAGTTATAAGTGATTCCTCTAAAACTTCTACATTTATTTTGTCTTACAAATTCTGCGCCTTTTTAATGCGCAAAAACTCATTTTACTTATTAAATAATTAAATATAGATACGTCAAGATATATTATGTTCGTAAGTATATAGAACACTAATAAAAAACGAGTCAGCTAATTTGACAATTAGCTGACAAAAAATTGACCCGTTTTTGAGGCTCAAGGCTCTATCTATATAATCTAAGATATAGCCTTACTCGCTGATAATACAGTTTTCTATTGGTGAAAGAATTTTTAAAATCAGTTGAGCAGTTTTTGAGTTTATTTATTACAAACAAACAGTCAAATCTTTCCTCTGTATAATATTAGTGTACACAAACAAATCTATATTTAGGTAAGCGTAAAATATTCTAATTTAATGAGACAGAATCAGACAGGAAATGCCTCCATCTTGCACGATTTCCGCAATCGCGTGCGCCTGTGCACCGTACAGCGAGCGGTAAGGCTACGTGTTGACAAGATTTACAGAGCGCCATCTGCGACATTACGTACCTTATATGGAATATTCCGGAACTGTTAAACTTAGATTATAGGATTTAAACTCACACAAGTTCTCCTTTCTCCATTATATGTAAATTTAAACATTTTGCTATCACATGAAACTGATCTTAACCTTTTTTTTTTTTAACGTCTGGAAAATGCTTTATGCAGACCCATACACTTTGTGGGAGGTGAATGGGTACTGTAGGAATTCCCCCATAAGGCGGGGGCGTACCCACCAAAAACCAGACGATATACTCTCGAGGTGCTATATGTCGAAGACATGGGTTCGCTTTCGCACTCACCACATCTTCGACGGCAGCGACCTTCCCCCTGCAAATAACAAACCCGGTCTCGAGTGTGATTGCCAATATTTTAGTTTTAATGGGCGACTTTACAAAAGTCGTCTGCTTGGGTACTTCTGTTCCATTCGTATTTTTGTCGAGAAGCAGTTGTATTTGGTTGGAATGGTAGGATATGGCAATGAAATCACAATGGACAGAGGCATAGCACCTGAATCCACAGGAATGGTAGTGCATGAAGGGTGTCATGGGCGACAATTATTGATACTGATCCTCTATTATGTCCATGATACTGTCCACGTCTGTAGATGAAGGTTACCACTTTCCATCAATTGACCGTCAGATTGGTTCTATAAAAATTTTATCAAAATAGGTTCAGCAGACTGGCTTTTAAATCAAAACAACTAATTTCACCACGATTGAAATCGATTTTTTTGTGGAATCAAATCTTTTTTATTTATATCATTACCCAAGATTCATTGCCCATTTTTTGTAATCAGTCTTACTAGAAAAGACCCATAGCTGTCAGTGGGGCATTGTCCATTAGTGAATTATGATAATGATCAAGAATAATAATAAAATAATTTCTTTTTGTTGCAGATAAACAGTATAATGCGGTGGCGAAGAGAAGTATCAGGGTGCAGAATGATACCCAAGATACTGTTGCTTGTTGCAATATTGACAATAAGTAAGTATAGGTACCTTAAAGGTTAAACTTTAATTATTTTTAGATTAAGTCTTTAAAAAAAAAACATGGGGTTGTCAAATATTTTGCATGTTTGACAATTCTATTTTTTCAATTACGCTTAATTTTTATGATAGTTCTCTATCACAATAATAATTTGTTTTTTTGGTAATTGATATGTCTGATATGTGACATACCAATTAACAAAAAAACAGAGAAAATTTGAATAAGCATTGTTTTTGGTTCAGTAGAATATGTACAAGCGCATAAACAACATTTCGAAAAAAAAACTTTATGTACAATTTTGACTTTGTTACTATTTTATAATAAATAGGTAAATATTTCATAAAAACTGAAGACATCTGCAACTCTATTTTAACTACTAGTGCCCCGGAATCGCTCAAGTGTAGTTTTTTTTTTTATTTATTTATTTAATTAGCATGCAAATACATTAAAAAACTATGGATTTTTAGTACTACTTAAACCCACTTAACCTCTAGTTCTGAACGATTTTTCAAACGTTTTCTTTCGTACAAACTTTGTCCTAATAATTACATCCACAACTTATATATTTTCATCATCATCATCATCATCATCATTTCTTTATTGCACTACTTAAAAAATAATACAAAAATATATGTATATTACACTTATGAAGTACAAAAGGAGGTTTTATCGCTAACGCTATCTCTTCTAGAGAACTTTTAGTTAGAGATGAAAAAAAAAAACTTAGTTATTATTATAACAAAATAAAAAGAATTAGCCAAATAAGTGCAGTCGTTCGGAAGCGATACGCTTAATACATATTCGGCAATTAATTTTTATTTATATACATGTATTTTTTGTCACTCTCTTTCAAATTGAGAAGTTGGTGCAAAGAAAAAGACGAGAGACTTAAATAACCAAAACAGAATAACTAGAAGTCTCATATTTATACAAGTTAGAGGCCAGTATGATATTTTTTTTAAATTAATAAATAAATGCTAATCGTTTTTACAATCTATCACGAAATATACATACTTCGTAAGACATTCAACATCTATAGGTGATCTATGATTAGTTTCCTAACACAAAAATACCGAAAACTTGCAAAACAAGATCAATTCCTCATGATGACAATAATTACCTATTCTCCGACTTAGTCTTCCAAGGTAACGGCCTGTCACAACTCCACTGGGGTACAATTTACACTCATCCACCCATCACTTAGCTGTGGAGGTCTCGCTTTAGATCTTTATCGTTCAATTTCATTTCAAGCTAAAATTCAAAACACATTATATGTTGCTTAACCGCTTTTATAAAGCGTTTATAAATGTAAAAAACTTTAGCTTGAATTAATAATTGTGTGTGTTTACCGAATCTAAGTATAATATACTCGTATTTTTAATATGTAATATATCAATTATATATATTATATATCTACTTACTTTTATATTTTTTGTATTCTTCTTTTTATCTCTTTTTTTTTCGAAGGAACTTTGCTGTTTTGTTTGTTAAAAATTTGTCGGAATTAAAAGGGCATTCCAAAGACGATTTTCAAGGCACTTTCTTCCACCCACAACCATTCTTTGGAATCAACTTCCAGTAGCAGTATTTCCGAATCGATACGACAACATAACCTTCAAGAAAAGACTATATTCCTTTTTAAAAGGCCGGCAGCACGCCTGCAAAGCCGTTGGTGTTGTGGGTGACCATGGGCGGCGGTAGTCACTTACCATCAAGTGAACCGCATGCTCGTTTGCCTCCTGTGTTGTAAAAAAAATAATAATATTTGAGTGTGATTTTGTGCTGGTTTTATTAGAGTTAAGCTAAAATATTTCGGTATTAATTGTTCATATTTCAGACCCAAAATTCAGGTATTTGAATCTTGTCTTAGTTTTTTGATGTTATCGAAGACAACCCGCCACCTCGGCTCATTTATAAATTATTATTATGATTATAATAGTCATTAACTATCAATTGCTTTATCCTTTCCCAAGAGACTACAGCATGGGGTTCTTCAAAAGGGGGGTAAAGAGGTTTTATCAGTGTAGGCAACGCGCGCGTAATATCTTTGGTATTGCAGGCGTTCATAGGCTACGGTAACCGCTTACCATCAGTTGGGCTGTATGCTTGTTTGCCACCTCAGTGGTATAAAAAATAAAATTTGCTGAATATAGGTTTCCTCCATAAGGGGGGTTTTATTGTAGTTGCTTCTTTGCAAGTAGATTGGTAACCGTAGTAAGGCTTTGGTTATTTTTAAAGACGGACACTGCTGCCTATTCCTTGACCATTAAGTACTCTTCGTCGCCTCTTACAACACTTACGGGAAGGGAACCATTTTATGCGGGGACCACACAGCAAATCATACGTTATTCTGGACTTAATACATGTTTAATGCTGTCCAGGAACATTTCAGTGCAACGTGGCCAAACTAGCTATATTGCATTATAATTCGTTTTTCAAGGCACTTTCTTCCACGCACAACCACTCTTTGGATTCAACTTCCAGCAGCAGTATTTCCGAACCGATACGACAACATAACCTTCAAGAAAAGAGCATATTCCTTTTTAAAAGGCCGGCAGCACGTCTGCAATGCCGTTGGTGTTGTGGGTGATCATGGGCGGCGGTAGTCATTTACCATCAAGTGAACCGTATGCTCGTTTGCCCCCTGTGTTGTAAAAAAAAAAAATTCTAGTCTCTATATCCTACACATTAAGAACAGAAGAACAAATAATAATACATTTTGCATTCGCAGTTGCAAAACAACCGGATCCAAAGCTGGTTGCATTCCTCTAAGAGATCTTGAGATATGTTTATTGAATTGATGGTTACTAAACGTCTAAATGTTTTTTTTTTTTTTTTATGAGTTTTCTTCTCCTGTTGAGCGTCGACGCTTAATGGATTTGAATGGAAAATATTTTATTCTCCAAGAAGCTACCTAAATAATACTGATTTTTTTCATACAACTTAGAATGGCAAACAAGCTGACGGCCCACCTGATGGAAAGTGGTAACCGTCGCTTATAGACATGAGCAGTACCATGGACATAACAGAGTATACTGTTTCGCCCATGATACTCCCCATGCGTTGCCATTCCTGAGGACTCAGGTATTATTCCTCTATACCCAGTAAATTCACGCCATATCCCACCCTTCAAACCGAAACGCAGCCATGCAAAGACAACTGCTTCACGGTTGAAACACGAATGGGACAGAGAGAAAGCAATCGACTTTTGTACAAAGTCTCCCTCTGGTCGATCATTATATCAGCTTTTAACTGTTCACTGCTAAACATAAACCTCCGCCTAGAGAAGTTTTGCTAGTAGTTGCCAGGATTGGCAGGCTTGGCAACCGCAATTATTTTCCGTGGTCGTCGTAAGAAACGACTAAGGTAGGGCTAGGGTTGGGCAGCAGCGTCACTCTAAAAACAACTTCAAAGCCTAACTACAGTTGCCAATCCGCCTGCTAAACTTGGCAACTACCGGCAAACCCCAAGGAAGAGATTTATGTACAGCAGTGGACAGTTAAAGTCTGATATGATGACGATAATGATCAATAGGTTTATTGACGAATCGAGAAACATCATTCTTCATTGTGCTCTGTTGAAAATTAATCATCGATATTAGCCAAGAGCAAACAATAATGAAACCCATACGTTAATAAATCAAACTTTCGTCGCCTTCTTGGAAAATTATATTTTATTATAATAAAAAAAAAATAAACATATTAAAATAGGTAATTTTCATATCAATCAAACGTCAACACTAACAATGACGGACAGTTATTGACATTTGACCTCTGTCGGTCCCCGCGCGAGCTAAGTGTGAGCGCAATGTTTGGCTTGAAGTTGTCAATCAACACCTAACCAACACATATTAACAAGAAAGGTTAATGTTTAAATAATAAAGTATTTAAAGTAATCTGAGGGACGGCGGTAGGCTCGTCCACAGTCACGTTAAATTTTATAAAATCAAATGTGGCTAATCTATAATAATAATCTAATTTATATTAGATTATAGGCATCTCACTCATTTTGAGATACCAATGATAGATAACCCCACCTATGCTATCGATATACGCTGGCGGGACGTCATATATATATATATATATATATATATATATATATATATATATATGATTTGCTAACATTGTTATTAAATTATTGTTGTTACTGTATATTTTACTTATCTCTAAAAGAGATTTCTTCCAGTCAACCTAACACAGTGGCATAGGAAGTAGTGAGTGGGCAGCAGTAGTGCTAAACAGAAATTAAAATAAATAAATATATATACATATATACACATGTTAAATACAACATATAAATATCAAATAAAAGAGAACACAATGATGACAGTCTTCTAATCAATTTTTATATTTAAACAAACAAACATCATATGACAGAGGAGGATGGAAAACAGGTTAGTACTGAATCTTCAGGAATGGCAACGCACGGGGGGGTATCATGGGCGAAACAGTATACTCTGTTATGTCCATGGTATTTCTGTCATGTCTATAGGCGATGGTTTCCATCAGGTGGGCTGTCAGCTTGTTTGCCATTCTGTTGTATAAAAAAAAAAAGTTGGCTCATCGTGACGAATTCCACAAGAATTAACCATTATGATTTCCAGAGGGAACCACGTGGAGGTCGACTTGACAAGGTATATATATGTATAGGGCAATGAGCTTTTAGACCCTATTACTAACAATCCCTTTTCCCCCGGAATTGTTTTTTAAGAATGACAACGCATTAGAGTTACCTACTACGTGTATCACAGAGTAGTCTATAGTCTATGGTACTGTTGATGCCTTTAGTTAGTTTTTTTATTTTTTTATTTTTATGGGTGATAATGAAATAATAACCCCACCCGCGCTATTGGTATACACCGGCGGGGCACCAGTGAAAGATGATAAATAAGGATGAAGCAGGTCTGTTAGCCCATCGTGACGAATTCAACAAGAAGCGTTCAAGATGGTTTCCAGGGGGAACCACGTGCAGGTCGACCTGATAGGGCATATTGCTAT